GAGGAATTCTGGGAGTTGAAGTCCACAAGTCTTAAAAGTGGCCAAGGGTGGAGACCTTTGCCTGACACCTTGAATGAAAAACTGTAATTGGAAAAAAAAGAGCTTACCGCACTTTCTTTGGTTGTTTTTCCCCAAAACAGAATAATTCACCCAGCTTAAAAGCTGGCTGGGGTATGTGTGTGTGTGTGTGTGTGTGTGTGTGTGTGTGTGAAATGACACCCCTCCCTGGCTGCCCTCCCTCCCTCCACGTACTTACCGGCAGGGTCAGTGGAGAGGCTGCTGTGCCGGCTGGGTGAGGGCGCCCCCCCCTCGGCGCTGCCCAGGGCCGCCAGGCTGCTGGCCGAGGAGAGGGTGCTGGCGGAGCCCAGGGAGGTGCTGGAGCGGGTCAGGGAGGAGCGGCGCAGCTGGCCCTTGAAGAAGAAGCTCCCCCGGGCTTTGTCCTTGGGGGCCCGCAGGTGGAAATCGTCGTCCAGGGCTCCACTGCTGCTGGGCACGATGGCGGAGGAGGAATCCAGGTCGTAGCTGTGCTTCCCCTTCATCTTGTCCCTCAGCCGCCGGAAGGGCGAGCGTGGCTTCTCCTTGACCGACAGGTCGAACATGCTGGCCGTCAGGCTGTGGCGCGTGAACTGCAGGCTCAGCTGGATCTCGCCCCGCTCCTTCTCCTTCTTACCCGGCTTGGAGTGGAGCTTGTACCACCTGGGAGGGAGGAAAGGCAGAGCGATCAAACCCAGAGACACCCCCCCAAACCACGAGAGGCAGCGCACGTCCTCACGATGCCCCACTCCCGCCTGCCCTTCCCCCCAAAGCAGCAGATCTGGCCCCAGTGCTGCACGGCCCCTTGGCGGAGACGTCTGGGAGCTGCCATTCCAGCGGGCACCAGGAATGGCAGAGCTGCTCTCTGCCCTCCTTCTCCCGGGGTTTTCTTCTTGCCCTGATCAGGATTCGCATGGAGGACTCTCTGCTCTGGCACAGCCCACCCCGTAAACAGCCAAGCCAAATTCCTCCTGGGAAAAAATTGACCCCCTACCACAGCCGGGCTGCCCGCAGGACGGTGGGGTCTTCCTCCTTTCCACCAAGAAAAGCCAGCAACTGAATGACCACACCTGCCGGGTGCCACCTGCCATGCCCCCCGCCAAAATGACAATGCACAAAGGGGGCCACTCTAACTAAGCATTGTTCCCCCCCCCCACTCTGTCATGTTTCCCTACGAGATGGCAGAGACCCTGCCCGGTCCAACTTTTGCCCGTGTGCCAGTTGTCATAAAATAGCTCCTCTGTGCCAGTGAAACAGATGCCAAGGAACTGGATCCAGTGTTATCCTGGAATGCCCACCTGGGCAACAGCAGGAACATGGGCAGGGCCAGGGGCTCAGGAGAGAGAGACCCTCCCCTGTTTCTCAAGCGGTAAGCAGGAAGGGAGAGAAATGGACTTTCAGACTCGCCAGACCCTGTGAATGTGCTTACAACAGGGGTCCCCAACCTCGGCAACTTTGAGACGTGTGGGACTTCAACTCCCAGAATTCCTCAGCCAGCTTTTTTTAGGGGGGAGGGAATTCTGGGAGTTGAAGTCCACACGTCTCAAAGGATGGAGACCCCGCCTTACAATAAAGCAGCTCATGCTGAAATATGAAAGTCCATTTGCCCTCCCCACTTCATAGCCAGCCCCCAAACTAGGGCGGGTCTCTTCTGGACCTCCAGCCCCGCTCACATTCCCTCCCCCGCAGGGCTGAGCTGCTCTCCTGACCTTGCCTGGCTGTCTCTCTCTCTCTCTCTCCTCTCTATGGCCCACGTTGGTTGGCAACGATGGCCCCTTCGTGACCTGTGGACTTCAACTCCCAGAATCCCTGAGCCAGAAAAATTGCTGAGCAAGACATTCCTTTCCACAAGGCGATATGAAAGACCCAAGACAAAAACTATATACTAGTCCCTGAAGGACCCTCCGGGGATGTGGGGGCTCAGTGGCTAAGACGCTGAGCTTGTCGATCGGGCAGTTCAGCGGTTTGAAACCCTAGCGCCGCGTCACGGAGTGAGCTCCCGTTCCTTGTCCCAGTTTCTGCCAACCTAGCAGTTTGAAAGCATGTAAAACATGCAAGTAGAAAAAATAGGGACCCCTTTGGTGGGAAGGTCACAGCGTTGTGTGCGCCTTCGGTATTCAGTCATGCCGGCCACATGACTACGGAGACGTCTTCGGACAGCGCTGGCTCTTCTTCGGCTTTGTAACGGAGATGAGCTTAGCAAACGAATGAGGAAAGGGGCCAGCCATGGCCTTCCCTATTGCTATGCTGGTGAAGGAGGCCTTCAGACAATCTTGGCTTCCCCTTTCTGCTTTTCTTCCTCATGCAAGGAGCCGGAACAGCCTTCGACAGCCAAGTAGGCTGGCAAAGAAGCTCACAGAAGGAAGAGCTGGAAAAAAAAATCACCAGGCCACCTAGTCCTTAAGGTGGTCTTGGCTGCACCCTTCCAACAAAGCAGGACACAACTGCACCAGGCCTCGACTCTTGGCCTCTCCACCTGCGTTGGAGCTTCCAGGAACCCAGGGAGGGAATCCTGAAATAAGGAGAAATTTTGACAGAACCCATCAACCCATGGAACAGAAGTTGTGGGAGCTTCATCCCTGGAAGCTTTCAAGAAGAGACTCGGACTGCCATCTGTCAGAAATGGTGTAAGGTCTCCTGCTTGGGCTGGTGGGGGGGGGGTTGGACTAGATGACCTACAAGGTCCCTTCCAACTCTTAATCTGCAAGTAAGTAATGTCTGACTCTGCTACTCAGCCCCAAGGAAGCTGAGCCCGCTTCCTTGCAAGTTGGGGGGTGGAGGGTGGGTGGGAATTGATTGGGTCCATTTATATAGTGGCCCATCTCGACAAGGAATCTGGGAAGCGAACCCTCTTTAAAATCACATCAGAACATTAAACGCCATTATGATCGATCGTAACTACAAGAACGGAAATGCAAAGCCGCAGCCGAGGAAAATGTTGCAGTCATTACCACAGGCAGGAGCCAGCCCCCACCCTGCACATTCAGTGCCCCAGGCCCAGAGCCAGGCCTTTAAGCCAACAGGGCGGTCGGGGCCATCCTAATCTCCAGAAGGAGAATGTTCCAGTAGATGGACACCATGGCAGAAGAGGCCCATCCTCATGAAAACAACCTGCACCTGAACGTCAGCAAGACAAAGGAGATGGTGTTAAGACTTCTGGGAGAAGAAAGAGGAACCTGCCCCACTTTACATCAAGGGGGCTGCCTGGAGAGAGTTTCTTCCTTTAAATTCCTGGGAATTTACCTCAGCAAAGATCTCACTTGGAAAACCAACACAACCCAGGTGGCCAGAAAGGCCCAACAGAGACTCCACTTCCTTAGGGTCTTGTGAAAGAATAAAGTGGAACAACGATGGATGACCTCTTTTTACCGGTCCACTCTAGAAAGTGTCCTCTCACATTGCACTACAGTGTGGTCTTTGGTCTGATCTAAGTATGGTATATAAAATCACACATTGCAATGTCCTACCTGTCAATGAATACTTCAGCTTCCACCATAACAACGCAAGAACGCACAATAGATACAAACTCAAGGTTAATCGCACCAAACTTGATTGCAGGAAATACAACTTCAGCAACAGAGCGGTCAATGTCTGGAATCCTCTACCTGACTGTGGTTTCTTCCCCAAACCCCAAAACTTTAACCTTAGACTGTCTACTATTGACCTCACCCCTTTCCTAAGAGGTCTGTATGGAGCGTGCATAAGCGCACCACACGTGCCTACCGTCCCTGTCCTGTTGTTTCTTTTATTTTTCTTATATGTACCCATTTCATGTATTCATAACTATGTATATACTTATACTTATTATCTTGTAAACAATTGACAAATCAAATCAAATAAATAAATAAAGTATGCTGCCTCGACAGCTGCAGATAGAAAGACATTACAGGGGGTGGTGAGCACAGCACAAAACATCATGGGCTGTTCCCCGATACCACTAGATGACCTTACTAGGGCTCGCTGCCTTAGAAAAGTGAGGAAAAATCCTCAGGGATGACTCGCACCCCGGTCAGCACTTCTTCACTCTCCTACCATCAGGTGGGAGATATAGCCAACCGCACCAACAGGCTGAAGAACAGCTTCTACCGGTGGGCTGTCAGACTTCTGAACGGAAAATAACTTCATGCTGACACAGTACGACAGACTTGTGGGGCCGGCGTGTTGTGCAACAAGGTCACATAGCGTAATAAGATTGGGACTGGGTGAGGGACTTCTGTCCTCACTGTGAGTTGTGCTGGGTGTGTGTGTGTGTGTGTGTGCACGAAGGGAGGCTCAGCCAATCTCATTGAACAAATGTTGTACAATAAAGGTAATAATAATTTCCCAGATCCAGCAACTAGCAATCATCCCTGGCCGATGGGGACCCGAGCGTGCCTATCCTGCTAGACTGGGAGGGATGGGCAGAAACGACTGGGGGGGGTGGGGGGAGACCCCAGCCCCACAAGTACCTCAGTCCCAAATCATGAAGGGCTTCACAGCTGGCAACCAGCCGGAAGCAGACTGGGAACCAAGGCCTCTGGCGGGAGCGTCCTACACGTTGAAAACAGGTGCCATTTAACCACCACCGCAGCCGAGTTCTGTGCCAGGTGAAGCTCCCAGGTGCTCTTCAAGGGCAACCCCAGGTAGGTCGCCCTTGAAATTTGCTTCCGTAGACTTTGTACATATATAAACCTTTGCTTGCTCTTCCACCTCATGCTTTCTGAGGCAGCAGAGATGGAGAAGGTTCTCCAGAAGGTTGAGCGGAGAGCTGAGGGCCAAGGAGAAGGGAGGGAAGGAGGGAGGGAGACAGGGAAGGAGGGGGGGAGGGGAGGAAGGAAGGGTCCCATTCCTGCCCCAGCTGCTTCCCGGCCTCAAGGCCAAGGAGGTTTTCCTCCCAGGCAGCCTGGAGGCCTCCTCTCTGTCCTTGGCAATACAGCCTGGCTTCCCCAGCTCTTCCCCGCCTGCCCGTTTCCAGATAAATGTTTATTTGGAGAAGCTTCGGGGAAGGTGAGGAAGCACATGACTCAGGGGAGGCCCGTCAACATCACACTTTTTTCCAAAATACCCAGCCCAGCGAAGGAGGAAACTGATCCACAGCAATCCAGCCTGGGGTTAGCCGCAAACACTCTGCAGCCGGAGCAGAGCCACCCTGGCACCGATTCACTGCTCCTCCGTTTGCCAGAAGAACATCTGGCTGGCCGGCCGCACCGGGGCAGGCAGCTGGCTTCGGGGCTCCGCTCGCCCTGCGCCAAAAAGGGCCCCCCGAGAGGCTGTGGGGACGAGTCAAGGCCCCCACCCCCCGCCCCCAGACCTGGGTCTCGAATGGCCCTCCCTCCCTGGCAAAGAACCTGCCTGCGAATCTCCAGCTTCTTCGGTGCTCCATTCCTTCCAGGGATGGGCTGGCTGGCTCAGCTGCTGAAAAGCCCCTCCCCCACCCTCCCACAGCCCAGAAGGGGCTCAAGCGGAGGATGCTCCGGCCAGGGCTGCCCACAACGCTTCCCACAGCTTCCCACTGGTCTGCAAATGCCTCCCTCAATTTGCTACCGTGCAAAACAGATGAAGGATGGATCCTCCTGCAGGCGAAGGAGCAAAACAGAAGTGGGAGGGGGGGGGCTCCCTGTGCCAGTGACAGGAGAGACCCCCCCGCATTCCCTCCAGGGGCCACTTCTGGGGCTCCTGCTCTGCACCCGGGGGGCCGTGCTTGGCTTCTCTTTCTGGAACCAGCTGAGCCCATTCCCACCTGCTGGCTTCCAACCCTAGCACCCCAAGTGGGCTGCCTGCCTTGGAGGCTTTGCCCCAGAGGTGCCCGGGAGAGGGGGCAGCAGAGGGCTCCCTCCCAGCTGCGG